ACCTAGAAACAATTGCGTTCTTTGTAGATCTGCAGCCAAAAGGACTTGATACATATATCACATATATACACATGATCTGTATAACCTATTTGTTAGTCATCTATCAAAACACTGACAAGCAGGAAGTTGGGATTATATCCCTATTTCTGTGAGCAGGACATGTTTTAAATCCTTTTTAAAACAAGATATAGAAGTAATTTGCTTACTTTGCAAACTGCTTTACTTTATATAATATTTTTTCTATTTCTATGCTAATAAATGATGTCTCTGCCTGCAGTGATCTTACATAATCATTTTAGCTTTTTATTTTCAAAAAATGGAGGCAGCATTCTGCTGCAATTCTCTTACCACCAAGGGTGAAGAATTTCCATTCAGACCTTGTATTGTTCTTATACATTCCTCCTCCTGATAAAATGTTTGGGTGCCATGTCCACAAAAATCCAATGAAGATTTTTTTTTCCAGTCAGCTTTACTAAGTGTTGCTACCCACATATGTATATTTGATCCATTTGCATATAAAATCATATATACACTCAATGAACTTTAAAAGGGAAAAAACTGTACTTACACTAAAGCAGTATTTGCAGTGTTACTTATTAACATGATAAGGTGCTTCTTAGACCTGTTTCAAATTATTTTTACCCAAAGAAGCCAAAATCCACCCCATGAAAAATGGGATTTGATAGTACCAGAAAGATGACTGAAAAGAGTTGTTGTACAAACAGCAAACTATAATAATAATATAATAAAATAATAATATTATTCATATTCCATTGGCACCAGGAGTCTGTAAAAGCATAATCACAGCTCTTCATAAAGCCAAAGAATTTGGAGGGAAAATAGACATGTAACTGTAGCCATGTTTAATCAATTATATATAAACCGAAACACCTAACAACCTAAAAAAAATTTTGTTCAGATTACACTTATTCCTCCTTATTAAAATTTCCATTGAACATCTAACTTACTTCTTCACTCACTGTTGACTAAGCAAGTTAAAAAGCTGCAAAAGCTATATCTGCACCAGAGACAAGGCATTTTTCTGGTTGGCAGAAAGTGTTTCCCAGGCAAAAACGGTTTCTTTTAAATAGCTTTTGTGAGTACAAAGGATGTTGGAGTGCTAACACTTTTTGCCTCCAGCTGAGGCAACATGCTGCTATTGCGGACATGGACACTGGTTATTTCACCACCAATATGCCATGCCCTTTCTGTCACCTGAATACCAAACACTTTTGGTGGGGAATGTAAAATTCTGCGGAACTACTGATCAAATGTACATTTACTATTTTTTACTTTTTTAATGCTACAAAAAGCAAGACTCAAAGGAGAAAAGCATAAAGGAAAAGAGTGCTGACTTTTTTTTATGTTTAAGATTTATTCCTCTCTAATCAAATTGCTTACGTTTTGTCTATAACTGCAGGCTCTTCTGAATTATGAACTATGATAGGCGAGAATCGTTGCAGCAAATCTTTTTCATGTCATATTTATTTGCCTTTGATTTTGTTTTAAATGAAGATTCTATCATTAATCATATAAATCACAAAAGTAGACAATTTGCTCATAGAAAGTGAATTACATACCTTATATTGGATAAGGAGACCATATACCAAAATGTTTTTCTTTTTCACTTCCCTTGCAAATTTCTGAATCCTAGTAAGCTCTTCCATCCCAATACTGAAAGAAATATTTTCAGAAATATCCAAGTGCACCTGCAAAGGAACAAATATGGAGGGAAAGAATTCACTTTTTCAAAGTGTGCTATTTTAGACTACCAGTTTTTAATATCTCATGCTTAGGTGTTAAGCACACACAAAAGCACAGGCTAACAAACGTTTTTCTTAGTTAGCCTCTATTACTACTGAATTCCACCACTTATTTAGTGACATGAAAATTATTTCTGTTCAAAGCACTGTGAAACCAATATGCCAGAACACATCAGAACACTATGTTCTAACTGCATATTAAAAATATTTTAATTAAATCACTTAACAAACAACATTCTTTTTTTAAGCTCTAATCTAACTTTCACAGATATTTTTACTATCAGAACACCAGAGAAATGCAAATGTTTTTCTTATGCATCTTAAAGGTTTTCAAAATGGAACTGCATTCTTCAAAGATTTAATTTGAATTTACTATCTTTTCAGTGTAGCATATTAGTCACCTAAATTGAATTAATGTCAAGAACTACTTCAAAAGAAGGTAGGGACATGACTACCCTGAGCTCTTGTTATGAGCAGGGATGCTGTGCAAACATGGTAGACATTACAAGACTTGTGCTGGAATCTCCAGGGAGATATCAACAAGCTCAGGGACCACTGAAGCCTTTCTCAAGGTTTATGTGTTCCCATAGTTCAATCAGTTTACTTCACAAAGTTTCTATTAACTGCAGAAATCAAAATTAAGGACGATATTTTATACTTATAAAGTTTAAGCACAGCAGAAGTACCTTTTCCCTTAAAAGAAACAGATAATATTTTTCTGGCTGAATGACTGCATCTATAAAAAAGTTATCTGCAACACAGAGAGGCAAGAGTATAGAGGTAACCTTAGAGATCTTTGCTTGGGAAAATTATTTCAAGTTCCCTTTGTTCCTTATGCTGAATTTATCCTGACAAATAATAGGATTTTGCTCATTTTTCCTTACAACACTATAAAAAGCTCTTTACCCTTTTAAGTGCACAAGGAGCAAAGATATTGTCTTCAGACAAAGATTAATTTTCAAACACTCATTAGCTATTTTTAACCCATAACAAGGCTAAGGACTCCTTATTTACAAGAAATATTAAAAATCTGTTATTCTGAGAGAGCATAACCTAGCACCTATTTACCACTATCCTGTTTCACAGCATTAAAAAGGGATTTGCCTCAAACTTACTTTTGTACTACAATGCAAACAGTACAACTACAGAGTCAAAATACTAGCATTCCTTTCTTAATAACCCCAAATAATTACAAAATAAAAAATCACACCTATTCAGTTAGATACTTGCATCTACAAACATGAAAACATAATACTCAAAAAAGAAATCTCAGTTTAAGAATGAAATTCATCTGGTTATAGAAGAGTTGGAGAGGATACTGGTTCAATGCAGACATTGAATGATGTACAAAGTTTACCTCTATGTTTCCTATTTCTCCTGTTGCATAAATCTTCCCTTTTCTGCTATAAAGCAGAGCAGTTGCTGCTTCAGCTTACAAATGCCACTAAACACTCAGGTCAGGCACCAGGAGAAGGACAGACTTTGCAATCTGTGGCAATTTTAGGAGGGAACATGGACAGAAGCCGTCATGTCCAGTGTAAGCTCATCCTTTAACTGGGATAATTCTCCCCACATTGGTTAAATAGACAATCTGGCACAATAACACCTGTCATTTTTACAGCTGATGCAGCTCAACATTGTAAGGAAAATTAAAACTGATTCTCTTAATTATCAGTTTGTTCTGAAAAAGTTACATGTGCCCTAAACTCGAAGGACAGAGAAGAACTTGCAGTTACACAGAAGTCTAAATTAGACCATTGCTGATTATGAGGTTAGAATGGAAGCATTCAGCTGCCCTCCTCATTTATCCTTTCAATTCTTCACTACCGGGAACAGTTTTACTTTCAAAGTAGAAAAGAATGTTTCTAGTACCTAAAACTTAAGTCATTTAAATGTCATCATATTGCTTAAAATTCTGAGTCATATTTGCCTGAGAAATATTAATGTGCCCTCTTACATCAAAAGAAAGTGTCTAACAGGACCTTTCATTAACAATGCATTCAGGTTTTCTGTTAAATGAAGTACACAGCAAAGACTAAAGTTGAAGAGAATCCCACTCATAAACCTGAGAGAAAAGGACACCCAAAACTGAGTTTAATTAAAGACTGCTGAAGGAAGATTCTGTCCCCCAGCCATACCATCTGTAATGAGTTTTAGAGATCGGAAGTTTAAAGGACTCAAATAGTTCCTAGTGATTAATATGAGACAATTATTTGTTTAGCTAATTCTTTAGTAATTTAAAACATACTTTCCAGTCCTCCTATTTTTTCCTCCTTGTATTTCTGAAAGTGTGGTAGCTCCATAAAATTGGAATGTGTAGCACAAAATGCCTTTTTATAGTTAGGGTACTTCATTTTTTTAAGATACTTCTAACAAATTTACGTGTGTCCGTGTTTTAAATGTTAACAACTGCTTCCACTTAAAGAATTTTCTCCCACTGTATAGTTTTGGGAAATTTCAAGTAGCTGTCACAAACAACTGATGGATCTGGAGTCCAGTAAAGAGATTAAATGTATCCTTTTCTCCTGAGGCTGTTTTAAAAGGCATCAACCTAAATAATACGTACAGGCTGCAGGCTGCTGAAGGAAGCACACTTTCATTTAAAATGGTGCTGGATTCTACAATGACTTCAACATCTAGTATCTTAGGGGAAAACCCTAAGCTTCATGGTGAGCCTGTGTAAGCATTATTTGCATTCGTACCTATTTCTCATGAAAAATTAAGTCCATGATAACAATTATTAAAACAAATCTCTCACACTCCATGTGTCACACTAAGAAAGCACTTAATTCAAAGACCAGGGTTGCGATTTCCTATGAATTGGGCACAAAACAAGCATGCTTTTAACACTGTAGTACTACCTAGTGGATTATTATTAAATTAAATTAAATTATTATTATAACTTTATCTGCACACCCTCAAAACCTAACACAGAAATGGTTTATTTATATTCTTGATAAAGAGCTAAGGAAAACATTCTCAACCCAGAGATCATTCTGCACTTTCAGTAGCCTTGGAAATGGGCAACAGGATTGGAGGTGCATTATTACTCTGATTATCAAAGGCAGAACTAATGTCTCTTTGAAAATTTAGTAAAATTAAAGCTCTACTCTAAACTTCCTCAGAAATATGATCAAGAAAAAAAGACCATCTAGAAATAAAGTGCTAAATATTGATATTGACAGAATCACAGTAGCTTACTCCAAAACAACAGTATAAAATAGGTAAGGATGTAACTTTTTTCATTTGTAAAAGTAATTGATCTTCATGATCCCTGATGAATTTGTTAGTTCAGTAATGAAATTTCATTACTTAAATTCCAGATTAGGCCTAAAATTGAAAAGCAAATGTTTAGTTTTACCTCCAGATCACTAGATTATGCACTTCAGAAACTATTCAGGCCCCATGTCGAATAATCATTTATTCTTTTTTCAAGAGCTTCATACAAGGAATTATATTTTAACATCATAACATATTATCTTGTGTCACCGCTGAAGAGTATAATAAATATAGACCAGAGGCACACTCCTTGGTGACATATGACACTAATGACACTCATTCCACCCAATACTTCTCATCTCTACCTATTAAGCCGTCACTTATAACTTGTCATTTGCTGCTGTTGGTTTATTTCCCAACAACATGCAGCACATTTGCTGAGGTGCAAATAATGCTCTTTACAGTCCAATTCACAGTTCAAATTTACAACTTTATTCAGAGCCAGCAGCATCTCTTGAAATATTTTAAAACTAGTCCAACATTTAAAAATATTTAATTGGATGCTTTCTACAGTAACTTACAAGAGTTACTTACTGAAATAAGGACAACTGGATATAAAAGAGGAATATTTGATTTTTCCAACATATCCACTAGTTTCTGGGTTTCTTGAATGGCATACTTTTTATCCTAAATGAAAATAAATGTTTAGAATTAGTGAAAACATCAAACAATTATTTCATAAAAATGGAATCTGAAGATCTGTTATTTACCAAAAAAAAGATATACTACTTTTTTGGTTTGGGGGATTTTTGGTTGGCTGGTTTTAATATATTTGTAATGGTTTAATATATTTGTAGTGCTTTGGTCTGGTACAGTTACAGTTGTTTGAAAAAAAATGAGATTAATAATATTACCCTTAAGAAAGAGGTTCATCTAAAAGGTTCATCTAAAACCTTCCTGTTTGCATACAGGGACCCAAATACAAACTGCATTGCACGTGTGTCCCCAAAATAGGAAACACTAATTTAGACCATGGTAGTGATGCAGTTAGATAACTACGCATATGACAAACCTCTTCTTGAGACACTTCAATACAGTATCGATGAAAGGAAAATTTAAACTACTTCCAGTCGCATCCTTCTTGTTCAAGAATTCATGGCTGGTTTAACAACATAGTGATGGAAGTGCAGGAGAGAAAGAAGGACTGGTACCTCAACAGTCTAATTTGATGCACATCAGAAACACCAGACATCAGAACAGATACACCAAGATGACATGATTAACAAACAACTTTTTATTCAAATATGGAATTATTATTGACCATTACTGATAAGTTTAAGTGCAAAACTAAAAACATACATTCTTACTACTTACATTTATGCAAACAAAATTGTAGCACTGTCCTGAAAAGATGTTTTGTAGCTGGCTATCAGTTTCACTTCGAGATACTGATATAGCTTCAACCTGATGAGAAAAAGAAAAATATTACTATGTAAAAAATTTGAATTCAGCCTTAACAGTTTGCTAAAGCTTCCATCATCATGGCAGAGTTTTTTAAATCATTTGAATTAAAACTGGAAATTATTATTTCTACTATGAGAATTAAAAACTGTTCAAATTTTTAGGTAACTCAACAGTGAAGCAGTCCAACGTCCTGCAGATTTGTGCAAGGTTTTGCTGAAGCGCACTGCTAGAGGGAGCCCTTCCAAAACCAACCCTGGAAGTACCAGACACTAGCGATACTGCCTGGGTTAGGATATTCAACTGTTTCCAGAGATGAAAACACTGTTCATAGGATCAAAATGATCTAATGATTTTAGATCTCTAATTCTGAGCAAATCTCTATAATGTTCAAATACATGTATACGTTGTCTTCATGCAACTAACAAAATAAATGAAGTACACATGAAGACCCAGGAGCACGGGTATTCTAAGATTTATGACAAGACTCATTTAGAATTTCTCCTGAAAAGTATTTCCTCAATGAATACTTTAAAACATTACCCTAATCACAAACATACTTATTTTGCAGTCTTTAATTATAACAGCAGCTAAGAAATGATCTTATACTAATTAACATTAAAATTAAAATTAGATTCTACTACATTATCCGTTTCAGGATTGCCTTAAGTAAAACAGCAAACCAGGCAGCAGAAGGGGAATGTGTTCCTAAGAGAAGGTAGCACTTGGAAGCCAATAAAAAGAGAGTTGTAAACACGGCAAAAAAATCTTCATTTTGCTACTATGAAACCAGCAAACCTCACTGTTCCACCGCTCAAATAAGCTTTATTTCTGCCCAGAAGACATATTATATATAGCAGCAAACAACAGACGCAATACACCGCTGTGTTCTCTCAAAATGTCACTTAATCCACAATCCAACAGAAGTACCAAATACAACATTTTAGAAGGCTTTGTGCCATTATCTAAAGCTGTATTTGTTTATTTTTTAATATTTGCGGAGCTAACTTGTTTGCAAAGGAAGGTGATTTGAAAACCCAAAGTTGATATTTATGCATTGAAGATTTAAAAACCATTTTGGGCTGAAACTTTGATAGTGGAGCCCCATATAGTTGACATTTAATATTTTAAAGAGATTAAAAATAAATCACAGATGTATTGCACAGAATGCAATACTCCAGGGCTCTTTTAGCTTGCACTTCTGCAGAAGTAAAACAGAAATTCTCAGCACCTTCATAACTTTGCACATACTTAGATGAACAGGAGCACATTGCATGCCAGAGTCTTTTCAGCAGGCAAATGGAACACGACTCAAGGGAAGGAGCCCTACTTCTTTTTTTTTTTCTTGCAATATTACAATTCATGATGCTTAAGTATTCCTGAGCACTTAATAAATAGGTCTTCTTTAATGTTTCCCTACTTTACTGGATGCCCTGTGCTGAAGTTTCAACTTTATTCAACATCCAATTTCACAAAATCAAACAATAATACCAGGATATTGGGAATCTGTAGGAGTCAGTTACATTATATAAGAACTTAAAATCACAATTAATACCAATCCAGCAGATGAACAATGCAGTGATTAAGAAATTAGTGAATTTCTACTAGTGAAACACTAGTTCATTTCCTAATTGAAAACAACAAAATATTTTTATATACTGCTGGTGGATATTTATCCAGTCCCAAAAACAACACACAACTTCATGCAGTTGATTACACTTCATATGACAGGAGCACCTGGTCACTGAATAAGTAGAAGAGCATAATTTCCAGCCAAAGAAGAAAACACCTTCAGCCCTCATTTAAGTTTGCTTTCTTCAAAAGAAAGGGCTAAATAACAAATTTAAGGAAAGACTCAACTTGTGTCTTTCACAGTAAGATATCTTCTGCAAAACACTGATTTATTGTTTATACAGAGTAAAATATTTACTACTAAAGTACTTTGCAAACAGTAACTGCTGCCTTATTTTTTTTTTTTAGAAAAGGTTTTTTTTATCTCATCAGTTCAATTTTTAGGTTTTTTTCCCCCTGTTATTGGCATTATCATATGATTGGAGTCTCTCTCAGAAATCCCTCTAACAAAATTTCTTTTTAATTCGTCTTTAAGGATTGTTTAAGGATGCATCCAGAAGTTAACAAATATCTTAGAAGTAAATATGGCTGCTACTAAGGACTAGAGTGTCAAAACTAACTAAAATGTTAAAATATTGACCACAGTTCATTTAAATTTCAGATAATATATACTCCAGTGAATGCTTTCCAATTAGTGTCTTATTTAGATCAATTACCCTCCAGTTACCGCTTTGAAAAGGCCCAGCTTTCAGCGTGGTACATTTAATGTGCTTAAAATAATTATCACGTTGTATAGAGTCAAACAGTGTTTGATTACATGCAAACATATATATTTATAGACAATTCAACACTTGAAAAAGTACTTTTTTTCTAATATGGCTAAGTGATGTCTTCCCAGTAATTGCAGAATAATTTAAATGGAGGGAAAAAAAGGAAAAATAGCAAGGTAGCTGGTATTAGTGAAATGGAAACATACTTCTGCTCCATAATACAGCTATTCAGACAAGAAAAAATCCTATTCAACTCTTCTAATGTTTTAAATGCAGATATTTAATAGCTATAAAGCATGATTTTCCATACTAAATACAATTCTTCCTAAACAAAAACTGTGAGTACAATGTCAAATGACATTTCTAGATATAAAATAGCCATACAGTTTGTTACAGAAGAACGTCCTACTACTAACTAAGCACACAATGTAGAAGATCAATAGACATGAAAAAAACCATTACAGAAGTAACATTATGCAGATCAGGAAACCTATATTTTTGTACAGTGCTCCCCATCTTTGTGTAACTGGAAGATGAGACATCATCACATAAGACATAATTATGAATCACCCCAAGATCAGTCAAGGTTTAAGCAATTACCAAATGTTAATCACCTTGGGAAAATGAAAATGTATGATAGCTCTATTAGTAGGAATAATGAAAAAGGAAATGATAGTTAAATGCCAGTAGAAAATTTCATCAATATCCTACAATATCCACCAAAAGCTTCAACAAGCATTCACTAGGAGTGAAATGTACTCATATCTCTCTGCAAAAAGGTTGATTAATTTGATTTTGCATTCACAGCTCTTGAATGTTACTTCAAAGTAACAAAAGCATTTATTCTGTAACATATTTGTAACAGTTTGGGATCACTAAATTAATAAAATCTAAAGAAAATGGCCTCTCTGTTGTCTGGATCCAATTCCTCCTCTAATCTAATATATACATTTTAAGAGGATCTGTAAAATCCTTCTCCACAGCATAATGGGGCAGAAGATGCTTCTTTCTTAGTAACTTCTACTCCTGGAGTAAATCCCCTGTAATAAATACTGCAGTGACACAGAAAGTCTCAGTTTCTGTATTCACATTATTTAGATAATTTCTTACAAGTTGTCACAAGCAAAAACATTAAATTACTTGTACATTTTACAGCCACAGAGGTGTACTTACTTTTATTTGGTTTTTCAGAGATTCATGAAGGAGAAAACCTACTTGTGCAACAGCTTCCTTCACATCAGTAATAACACAAACTTGTTGTGATAGGTTGTCTGTGATAAAGAAAAAAAACCTTAACATTTCATGCAAAGATGAATCAATCAAAATTACTAACCTGCTAAACATTACCTTCAATTAAAATACTGCTGTCTCTTGACAGAACCTTTTCAACAGCTGTAAATTTAAATTTAAGATTACTTATTTCAAGGCACAGTTAACATAACTAGATAATTTATATAGCATAGCTCTCAAATATAAAATATTATATTTTATATGATCTTGTACAACACAAAAATATCACGTAAGGCCTGTACCCAAAGCCCATTTAAATAAGGGACTTCTATGAAAAAGTATTTGTTCAGGTACATATTACTGACACTAGATGACAACCAAGAAAAGAACTTATTGAAATCTTCATGCCACTTGTCACTTCAACAGATCACTAAACGCAGTGTCAGGAATGTTGAGAAAAGCGAAACAAAAAAAAAAAGCAGAAGACATCAGATAGCATGAATCCTCTTCCCAACAATATATACTACATAGTATTAAAAAAACAAAAAGTATTGAACATACTCTTTGGGGAGACAGCAGGTATAACTGCTCACCTCAATATCAAAAAAGTTGCAGTCAGTGACAAAGATCTTGGCATAGGGAACATCTTAGATCTTTTACTGGTGAGGGAAAAAAGTAGTATTTTGTTGATACCAAGAACAATAGTTTCAAGTTATTGCCTCATCTGCTCCAGAAAGCAAATATTTCAGAAAATTAGTATTTGCTCTTGTTATTGACTACAGTTTCAAGATTCAGTAAGCATTTTCCTTTCTTTAGGCAAACAAATAAAACTAATCTAAAGTCTAATTATATTTAAAGCAGACTTCAATGAGACTTCAGGGACAGAAATATACCAACCACTACCATGAAATAAATTAGCAGTGAAAGACATAAAAGAGACTATAAAAATATGGCCGAACTGCTCTTCAAACAAGTCTGAATATAGAAATAGATATTTGTTGCATGTGGAAAGTGTTTTTTTTCATAATTACATACCACACAATAAGTTCAATCAGATGATGATGTTTACTTAAGTAAACATCTCACTTTTTATTATAAACTTGAAGACAACTTTACAAAAATAGACATACAGATCTGAAAATTAATTTTAAAGCTGCTGCAGAGTTAAAATTATTGGAAAGTGACTTGTGATTTTTAAACACAATTTTCTTGTGAGTAGGAAAAAATGAATTAACCACTGAGGATCCCAAAAGAGACTTCCAATGATTTTATGAATCATGGGCATTTATTATGTCCAATATTTATAAAGTGGCAACAAAAACAGTGGTAGCAACTGGCTTCGTATTAAGTTAGCAAGAATGGGGAGGGAGGAAGAAAGAGAGAACAATAAACATCTGCTTATAAACCATCACAACCAGATGAAAGCGAGAATTAAAAAAATGCATGGCCAGTTCTCACAGGACTGGAAATCACAGGATACCACAACTGTGGGAGAAATTATCTTCCCATAGATTCACTGGGCAAGAAAATATACTAAACATGCATCAAAGTTGGCTTCTACTTAATAGAGAGTAACTTTACAATCTAAAAAATAGGTCAATGAGAAACCATATTGAATTAATTTCTTATCAGCAGAAAGAAACTGGTAGGTAGATTGAAATCAAGACAGCAAGAGCCACTTGAATTTAGTACTGCACACAGACTGCTGATACGCTGCAGATACAAGATAGATGTACATAATAAACCAGACTGGCATATCAGATTTCAAGAACTTGGATTCTATGGAGCTCAGTAATTTAATGAAGGAGGACAGACTGGAGCTATTACAAAAATCCACATGTGGAAGAAGGCTGTGGAATTCAAAAAGGCACCATAACTTACGCTCAGACAGCTCTTTTTAAAAAGAAGTCAGTTATCACCAACAAGTGTCAAAAGTAACCTCACAAAAGGCTGCTCAAAGACTGCAACTGTCAAAGCCCATCTTACTCCTGACCCCAGACCCCTTAAACCTCCAACTTTCTGTAATGTAAATTAGAAAGGACAGAAGACTGCAAAAAAGGCGACTAAGATTTGCAGGTTGAATTTACTAAAGAAAAAAGCAAGGCTGAATGAAGTGTGAAAAAACGTGGGTTTTTTTTAATCTGAAGGAGGAATGCAATGTTAGAGGGGAAAAGTCTATTGATAAAGTTCAAAAAATTGTGCTGAAAACAGCATTGATAACACAGGATGTTTCAGTTACTGCTGAGCAGTGCTTACACAGAGTCAAGGCCTTTTCTGCTCTTCACACTACCCCACCAGTGAGGAGGCTGCGGATGCACAAGAAGCTGGGAGGGGACACAGCTGGGACAGCTGACCCCAGCTGGCCAAAGGTACATCCCATACCACATGGCTGCTGTGTGAGTGCACTCAAGATGAACCACTCCATAGTCTTCCCCAAGAAGTACCAAGGTCAGACTGACAGGCCTGTAGATCACCAGGCCCTCCTTCTGGCCCTTCTTCTAAATAGGCTTCACACTGGCAAACCTCCAGACATCTGGGACCGCCCCAGTTAACCAGAACTGCTGATAAATGATGGAGAGTGGCTTGGCAAGCTCTTCCACCAACTCTCTCAGTGCTCTTAGGTGGATCTTTTTAGTCTTTATCCTAGGATCTCACTCAAAATTATAAATTAAAATGCGTGCATGTTTATGGAACTACCTGAGTTAGATAATGTGTTAAGTGTATTCTAACGACTGGCTTAAAAGTTTACCCTGAAAAGCATGCCACAAACAAGCAGCAATTAAAATAATACTTCGTTTGAATAAAGATCATAAATATCATATCCTAGGGAATTAATACCGTAAGAATAAAAATGCATCTCAATGGCAAATAGGCTTTACCCTAGAGATGTACATTTTTTTCTCTTAATTGCACATATATGTGTATATACACGTTTATTTTTTGTAAACATATGTTCATATCATGCCATTCTTGGTCTGTCATTTCCATTCCTACTATTTTGGAAGCACACCCTATCCATCAAAATATTTTGTATTTTGCAGCGAATTCAAAATAGTAAATTATCGGAATTCTGTTTTCACCTCCTACACAGCAATGGCTTGACTGCTCTGCAAATTCAGTATGGTTCTCCCTAGCATTTTTAGTATCTCATAACAGCTATGTTTCTACTGCTGTACACACAAGAAAAACGAAACAAGTACTGCCCAGCATTTAGTTCATTCATGCTCAACAGAATGAGCTGAAACTGTTATTCGCATAACATACGTAACCAAAAATATCTACCAATTTTCTGTTTATTCATTCCACATTTCCTGTAGCCACAAAATCCAAAAGCCAAATTTGACACTGCCCCCACCAATATTAGCGCACAAGAAAGAGAGGAATATTTTGTGGTAGAAGGCAAGGCAGAGGGTTATTCTCACCTGACAATTACTATTCTGAGGAGTACCTCCCCACCTGCCAGTCTATTTCTTTGCCTTACAGCAGAGAATAGCCACTGGTTAATGAGTGTGCCCATGAAGATGCACTCTACCTCGAGTAAGATATCTGTCTTTTGATACCCAAGGTTTACATCATTTTTTAATATTTTTTTAATAAAAAGACATGCCTTCATATAACACAAAACATAGCATGTACCTCCCAACAGTCATCACCAGTTTGAAGGCATTACGATATTTTTCTTGGCACTTGCAAAATAGAATTGCATCTACATCAGCACATACTTATTTAGCCAAATATGAGGACAAAATACCCAATCTGCAAGGGCATGCTCTTGTGATAACGTTATTGCAGAAGGGCGTTTAAGAAACAAAAATAGAGTAGGAGAGACTCCAACTCGAAGTTACAAAGTTCTACTGAGAAGCACCATTTAAAGTTTACATGTTGGAACTAGAGTTCAAAGATACTTACCCTAAGGGCACTAGTCCTAATGGAAATTTTTTAGGATGTTTTGTATTAGCCTGATCTTAACTACATTTCTAGATGAGTCACCCTTATTGTAAGACAATGTTTTCTTACTTCAAGGCTATTAAAAATAGGCATGTGCCACCTTGTCTGCATACTCTACAAGTTCATACCTGCTTAACTAAAGAAAAGAATTAATTCTACTGTTCATAAAACAAATGTTAGGACTCAGACTTTCATAATACAGTTGTAAAAGAGACTTGAGGAAGTAAGCAAATTAATAAGACATGTTTTAAGAAAACCGTCTCAAAAGATACTTAAGTCATTAGTCTACATCAGTGAGGTGTGTCTTTGTATTGCCTTGAATATGAATGATATATATACATATAAATATCTAAAGTAAAAAATGAATGTATGCATGTATGCTTTTCTTACTTCCACCTGAGTCAAGTTTAGCAAGCTGAAATTTGTCAGTTATTATGTCTCATTAGGCCAGCAGTTAAAAATCTAGCTGTGCTACTATGAAAAATCTAGGACTTGTTACACATGTAGAATTTACATTTGTAGTATAGCTGACTAAAGAAAGTTTCCTATTTATAATACTATGATTAGCTGTAGGCACCTTCTTCTCTATATAGGTCGGAAAGGTTGCTGCCAGCTATGCTCAGCCAGGTTACAGACACACTAGCAGCCAGGGCCAAGCAAAAGTAAAAGAAAACAATTTTAACAAGGCAAAAGACAGTAAATTCCACATGGGAAGGCAGGTATTTCTGCCATAAATATGAAGCTCCACCATCCCAAAGAAGTAAAAGGAACAGGGAAGGAATGGAAAAAGAGGAGGTAGATATCCAGAAACCCCACCCCTGAGGATGGCTCTAAGAGGGAACACTATATGAAAATCCACAACGACATGTGTCTTCGTGCGAGCTATGAATAACACATTAGAACATTGAGTTCTGCTAACCAAGTTTGTATCTCTGCACCGATCAGAATCAGCAGAATGTCCTTCCTCTCTCCAGAGACTGTGACTGAAACCATCAGAAGAAACATTGCATGCCACTCTCTTGCAGCGGTTGTTTCTCGGTCAGTCTCCATAACACAAAAGCCCACAAACAGCAGTGAGTAGCTACACACAGCAAACAACTACCTAAGTTTTGGGAAAAAGCACAAAAGGGTAACGACAAGTAGCACTTCATATAGCACTGAGTAGTGGGTTCTGAACTCTCAAGACAGGCAGACACTGTGATCCAGTCAATTATTCAGCTACTAGGAAAGGCCTAACTGAGCATGCCTTGGCTTGCAGGATGGTTGCCATTTTGAAGGTGGACTGTTCTTGAAGGTTTCACACAGGCACAACACAGCAGAACATCGATATTAAGATTTCTTCTGTAAAACTAACCATAAGACTGAATGATGCAACATAGGGGTACAAAAGGATGAGGCTTAATAGAACAAAAATATATTGTCCCCTTAAATATGCTTTAAGTGTGGCATGAACCATTAATAAAATGCTTGCCTAATATTCATTTATGTGGCTCAACTGTCCACGACAAATAAGTCATGTTACACCATGGTATTTGATGACTTTTGAAAGGCACAGAACAGATAAGGCACAAGTCTAAACTGCAGACATGGAGTGCTAATAGTGTCTATTCAAAAGCCCATTAAAGATAATTAATTATGTAAGATAAATCTTATGAAGTGCCCTAATTAACTATGGAGAACTCATTAAACTGCTTGCATAAGGAGTAAAGAACACGTACAGCTTCCCCTCCCTGAATTCACGCAATGCAGCAAAAAGCAAATCTAAACTTCAATGAACTTAAAGTACAGATTTTCATACAGACCAGGCATAATAAAGACTACTGTGGTTACTGAAGCAGATATATTGCCTGCTGCCACAGTAACAGAACATTAGATACAGAAAGATCAAGTAAGGGATTAGCCTGATTTACCAGCATGAAGTTCTTCATTTTTAGTTCAAGCTACATAAACTTTTTGTCATAACCAACAGCTGGAAAAGATTGTATTGGCTTTAGTGAAAACAAAAAATGTGATAACATGATGACATACATATGTAAAATATATATCTATGAAGAGAATGACTGGTCATTTACAGCATTTTTGCTCCAGTTATAAGTAAAAATAGCTAAACCTAGTGAATGTTCTTTTCATTTGAAAAATCTGCATCCTCATTTTCTACTCAAGCAGTTTTAGAGAAAGCTGCTTGGAATGGATCTTTTTTTTTTAATAATTTATAACTAATATTCTTTAATGACTTACAAGATTATTAAAGACCTTATGTACACAGGAACATGGAAATGCATTTGCATGAAGGCTGCAGTATTGTTTCAGGTTTATAATTTCTTTATATGACTCAGTCTCCACCTTCGCAAGAGCTGCTCTGTAATTATGGGGATATATGGGGAAGGAGGCATAAGCAAACTGGACAGCTCAATGCTGGAAGCAGGGTGCTGTCTCCTTCTGTAGCTACATAAAGCAACGTATTTTACATAAGGTGTCCGTCTGGCTTTCTCCTTACCCATTACAGAAGAATGTATCCAGTAAAGGATCAGATAAACTGCAAGAAGATGAGCAAGAACTTTTTAAAACTATAAGTCAGCACTAGTTTTGATTTTTCTTTTCCTTTGAAGTCTACATATCTTCAGTACATCCTGAAGGTCCTCTGAACTAAGTAACTCTTGTATTTGAGTAATACTAAATGATACAGTTCAGTAAATTGGCCTTTGTATTACAAAAGAAGTACAGTCTGCAGTTAAGCTCAAGGAAAATGGAAATGAAAATGGATCTACTTGATCCAACAATGACTGATAAATTGCCATTAAATATTGAAAACATACATGGTAAATAAAAATGAAAAATACACAGGAAAAAGGAAAACAAGATCAAGCTAATATAGACATATGAATTTGCTGAGATTTTTTCCAAGTTGAATATTGAACCTTTTGTCAAGATATGATCAAAATAGTACAGTACATTCACTGAGCTGATTCATGGCATTTACATAATTTTATGCTGGCATTACTGGACTCAGCAAACTTGACTGACAGAAGTACAACAATTCTTGTTACAGCAAACATCTACAAATATTATAAAAGCACAGCCAAGCAACTGAATCAGCTTTCTACATTTCCTTATTAATGTTATCATCAGAGGGAATTTTTCTTTGAAAGCCTCTGCTATGTAGATAATACTGAAAATTGTAGATAATACTTAAAAGAAGTCTATGCATGCACTGTATTAGAAGTAGGAATTCAGTGAAAACTCCTATCATGGAGGTATAGACATATTTGCATCTTGCTAGATGAAATAAACTGGATGCTGACAGTGCAGAAAGGGTCTCAGAAGTGGCTTGTGTCTTGGGGTTTTTAAAATATTTAACTGCCATTCTTACTCTGCAAAAACTTATTTACTTGATATAACCAAAATTAAGTCAATGGGACAAGTCAGATCACTAGTTAGTTAAGTAAGGACAAGCAAAATGACCAGTGTAATGGGATCTATGTTTAGACTGGAAAAAAAAGAACTTAATTTTTTCATGTAATTACTTTTGCACTTCTCAAAGATCGGAAGCTTCCCTTTTTTCCATTGAACTATCATTCAAGGTAAAGAAACTGGGCCAACTGCAGAACAACTTAACTAGATTTTATATTTGAAACACTCTCAATGGCAGAAAGAATTCTTTTTGCACAAAGTTTGTAGATACCCAAGAGCTATCAAAAAATAAGTGGACAAAGTGCAGCTATTGCATATTTTGAAAATATTTTTACAGTTTAAGTCAGATCACACTGCCATTGTCAAAGCTTGAATAAGTTAAAAATATTGTTGTGGAAATATTAACCTAAGTAACTTCTGAGATGAAATGTTATTTTCAGTAGAATTTGATTAAAAATGGCATTTATAAGCCAAGAGATGCTCATATTGGCAGTCTTAGCTGAACGAATGTTTCCTAGGAAATCAAGAACAGCCTCCCTTCCAATTTCCCAGCTTTGTAATAAAAAACCTGAGAATCCTAAGAATTTCCAGGCTTTTCAGATATATAAATGGAATTTTCTAGATTTTAGTTTGTGTCCATTGCCTGTTCTCTTTTCACTGAACACCACTGAGGAAGAGTCTGGCTCCATCTTCTTCACTCCACCCCATCTGGCATTTGTACACATTGCTAAGATCTCCCTGAGCCTTTTCTTCTCCAGGCATAACATTCCAAGCTCTCACAGCATCTCCTCATATGAAAAATGCTCCACTACCTTAATTGTTGTCATGGCTTTCCCCTCGACTCTCTCCAGTATGACCATGTCTCTCCTGCACAGAAGAACCCAGAATTGGACCCAGCACTCCAAATGGGACCTCACCAGTGCTGAGCGGAGTGGAAGGATCACCTCCCTCAATCTTCTGGAAATGCTCTGCCTACCATAGCTTTTGGTCTTCTTTGCCTTAAGGGTGCATTGCCAGCTCCTGTTCAACTTCTTGTTCACCATTTCAAACCTATTGCATTTCTGGAGGTCTAGAGAATCAGCATGAAGAATACCACAGTGATATCTGAGCTCTGTTTAAGCTTTGTAGCTTGTCTACAGTGACAAAGCTGAGCATGGCATGGTCTAATTTACCCAAACCAGAATCTAAACCAATACCGGATCTTGTAACAACACATGAGCCACCAAAGTGAACAACTAGCCAGTCAGTCACCATGCACTAACAGGACATGGGTTTTGCTCTGTTTTCCTCAAATAGCAACCACACTATTTTCTCTGGAAATATATTTTGAATCCAAAGGGAATTCACTTTCTCTTCATCAGTTTCTGGGCTTTTATTCCTCAGTTCTCAACATGGAGTGAAGCAGCAGTCCCCTGAATCAGTGCCTACCAGTTTACAAAAACCATCAGTGTTCTCATTACATAGTACTTAAGAGTTCTTCCTTTCTACACTGTTTTTAGATTGAGTCAATCTAAAGACTATATCCAGTGTTTATGTGAAACTGCTATGAAACCACTGTTGCCAGTATGGGAAAAGGTTAAAAATCAGTATTTATAAATTAATGGAATACCTCAATATCATATAATTACTATAACAATTTAGGTAACAAGTTGCTGTATGCAGAAGAGTGAAGAGCCCTAAAGAGTTAATATTTAATTTTTAGTCTACTACTTACATTAAAAAGATGGAACATATTAAGAATTGAACCAGAAATGAAAAAAAATGTTTATTCCTTATAAAGCCATTCAAAATTAATGTGTATTTGACTCTATAATATACACAGCTTTTTGTAAGGTTCTCTATTCTAAGAGAAGTAAATAAAGGTAAATAATGCATAATATAAGTATTCCAGTGAACAAGCCAAAACAACTTGCCTAAGCACATTTTATTCATCATAAAACTTTTCTTAAAGACATTTAAAACTATAACACACAAGATTCTAAATCAGATTGAGGAATATGCAAACTGACAGCCACAAGGACAAACACATACCCTTAATAATCGATTCAGCTGCATACAGATCCCGCTTGTAGGTCACCTAAAGGACAGACAAGCCTCATTAGATTTAACACAGCAGGAAAGAATGTAAAACCAATAAAACAATGCCCCAAAGGCAATTCTTTACATTTGAAATACCATAAACAAATGATATTGTCAATTTCTTAATTCTGGTAAAAAAATCACTGGCAAGTCGTGAGAATGGAAGTTGCAGAAAATAGCGGAGACTCGAGAGAAACCTTTTTTAAAATACATACATCTGCTTAGAACTCATTTGAAACCTAAACCTGTTTTTAACCCTTTGAAGAATCATAAAAACATGACATAGCATCTTTTTTCACACATCCATTTACATAAAAAACTGTATTTCTACTCTATAATTTTATCATGAAATAGGTTCATTTTTATAGGACTTGTGTTCAGTAAGATGAGAGCCAGGAAGAAGCCTTATTATTTCCTTTACTATTATAGGTATGATTTTTCAGTAGTGCAAGACTAACTGTTAATGAGAGTCCAATTAATCAGTGGGAGTCAGTGAGACTATAGTAGGCTTTGTATGAGCCTTCAGAGGATTAAAAACCACCAAGATTTTCTTGAAGACATTATTCTGATCAAGTTAGATGGACAATATGATGCAGAATATTTATTTAGTACTTGTAAAAGACACCTTTCATATTTGCCTTTGTACCCTCGTGGTGGTTGACAATCCCAGTATTATGCTTTGTAAATAAAATAACAGAAAACTAAAGACAGTATCTACCCAAGACGCTAACAGTCTTTGCTAGCAATGTCTTGGCAATAATGTGCAGTGACATGAACTGATATAACTCCTAAGTACTTGTCTTTGTTTTTGCTGTAATTTCCTTTTATGTTAAATAAAATATTAATGGATTTTCTGCAGTTCGTCTAGAGTCTGAAAAGCTTTCTTCTTTCTTTTCGATAAGGACTGAATAGGATTCCTAATTTTTAGTGATGCACAGTAAATCTTACAGCAGAAACATACTATTGTAGGTAGTAGCATTTTAGTCTCCAAGTAAATGATTACTTCATTTTAACAAACGCATTCTTTTAACTGCTTTCCTTTCCATCTCATAAATTAACCTGAGTATCGTAGTCAGAAAGAGATTAATAATATTACCTTCCTCATTACTCAAAATATCTCCAAGGAATGATATTATTTTAAAATTAAAAATTAACTCTTTTTGCCATAGCGTGTTCTGCAGGAGAAGCAGCCAGAGAATGAATCTAGTGTATAGAATATAAGTTTCTGAGTTTACATACTCTTGGAAAGAATTAATGTCTTGAATTTAAATTTAAGGATAAAGAATCATTGAGGCGCCAATTCTGCTGCAATGTTTCTTTCAAATTACCTGTTTCTAGAGGGCTTTTATACTGAACTTTTTGTAAACCTAAAGATCATCATCTAAAAACCTTTCAAGAAACAAGACTATCTAAGCTCTGTCAAAATGGTCTCACATACTCTAACGTTCACAGTCTCTTTCAGATGCAAAAGTATCTTTAAATAGTCTGATTTTAAAAAGAAGTTACTTCACAAAGTGGGCCCAGTCTTCAAGAAAACAACATAGAAGAATAAGCAGGAAGGAGCTCTCTTCTTCTGATCTGAGTATTTGCTGCAGAAACAATTTACTTTTTTAAAGACCTCATCATTTTTATGACTCTGACACCGCTGCTAGTTTTAGGCTCACCAGTATAACACCACGAGGAACAGGTGGAATCCCCACAGAGGACTGCTAAGGTGGTGTGAGAGAACTCAGCTTGTTCAGCCCAAAGAACAGACGATGAAGGGTGAGGAAGGGTCATAATTAATGGCCACAGAGATGAGTAAACTGGACTTTTCTTGCAGATCTGTCAGCCTTTCATCTTTTCCCAGTGCAAGAGGCAGCAAAAGGAAATGCTGACCAAATATGAAACAAATCACCTCCATATCGGGGGTATATGCATTAGAATTTTTTCCCTAGAGTCTGTGAAACTTCCATACCTGAAGATATTCAGAGCTCAACTGGGCAAAGCCCTGCATAGCCTAATCTAACTAACCTGGCCCCAGTTTCAGCAAGGCATCGGACCAGATGACATCTCAGTATTTCCTTCAGTCTTAATGATTCTGTCATTCTTGGTCAAAAGACTACATTTCATCTGCTGAGAATCCGTAGTATCTACATAAAATAAAGAACTAAACAAACATTATAAAGAGCTGAATTAACATTATGGGTGTATCTTGTTACCCTTCATGTAAGTACCATGCTTTGCAACAAGAACAATGAAGCCATCCAGAAAGTGATGTAATGCAAACACGCATACCGTAATATTTTCCTTAGAAGACCGAATAGGAAAACAGACAATATACTGTTCCAGAAAGACTATGGCCCCAGAAAGATACTGAAGGAAGTTGCTGGATGTTACTAATGCATAAATAAATTCTGCTGCTAAACTGCACAGGAAATTTGCACTGAAGATTCAGGAAATTACCTTTCTGTGTAAGATTTACTGTAATATTATTAGAAATCATGTCCCATTGGAGGAAATTTACTGTCAAAGACAGATGGAGTGATGAGAGCTGCTTCCAGATCTTTCAATGTGGTAATGAATAAAATAAAAAAAAAAAGGAAACACTTAGAAATTGCATGACAAGACAGCTACCGAGAAAGAATAATGTCCCACCATCCAAAACAAGGAAATTGGATACTTTTAAGGAGCATCCTTTGCCACCTGTACACACATCTGCTTTGTCAGTCACTAGGAACCTGTAGATTATCAGACAAGGTAAATGATGTTTAAAAAATTTTAAAAGATAGTTCAAAGAAGTCTTAAACATTAGAGTGCTGCTAAATGTAATGAACTGCTCTAAAAATCAAACTGCTGTTAGCCAGGTATTTGACATCAGATAAAAAGTGATGTCCTCATAGGAAAAGTGCAGGAAAACAGAGAAAATAAATAGAAATAGCAGGAGAAAGCTAATACCATGAAAGAGGGTTTAAAGTTCTAGAGATTTTGGATTTATAGTTTTACAGGTTCTCAGGTTATTAAAATATCTAATTGGTTTTCCTACTTACAAATACTTATAAATACTATCCTCATTGATTATCTCAGGTAACATCTGCCCAAGCCTGTCTACAACCATGAGCTCTTAAAAAGCTCACGATAATCCAAAAACAATTCGGAATTTGAAAGAGAAACTCCTAACTATTACAATTAAAAACACATCTGAATTTTTATGGTAACATGTGAATTTTATTAATTTCAAAAGACACATTAAAAAATAGAGATTATTATTGCCTTTACCTTCCAGAGGTTAGCTGTTCCTTCAACAAGTTTGGCATTTGTTTTACAGTATTTCAGAGCCAAATGCAAACATTCAGTTCCATAATCCAGGTCATAGTCGGTACACTGTATTAATTAAAAAAGAATACATACTCTTAATTAGTCTTAAAGAAATCATACTTTTAAGCAATAACAGATTTTCTTTCATTAATTAAACCTTACATCTCAACAGTCCTGTCCAGAATAATACGTGCTATATTAGCTTGGTAGGTTCAGGATGGATCTGAAATAAAACCTTTCCAAGGAGCTTATGCCAAGTTCTAGCTACCAAGGAAAGTGTTTCAGAAGTAAATAAACACTTCATGACCACAAACTGATTTAATTAGATGCTGCAAGTATCTTGCTACACCTTTATGTTCTTAACTATATCAGTGAGAATTTACATGTATAAAAAAATTTTGATGGAGTTGAGGCCTCATCAAAAGAAATCATTAAACTTCTAGTGACAAACTTCTAGAGTACAAGTTAATAAACCGTAAAAGCATGACTCTTCAATCCCTTGTCTAAAGGATGGTAGTAAAGAACTTCTGTATTCTTTACATTTTTCCCTTCTATATTTTTCTCCAGTTATCTGCACACAAAATAGCAAAGTTTCATGCTTCTCCATGAGCCTTCAAGATTTAAAAAGTTATTAGAAAATATAGTTTTAAAAAAATAAAGACAAAAAAATTTGTCCACTTTTCAGACATCTAGAAGAGGCAATCTTCTCTCAACACACCCTTCCCAAGCAGTTTGGTTTCCCATAGTCAGTGATTATAAGAATCTTGTTAATGGAAAACGGAGTAGGGAGCAGAATATCACAAGCCAAAACATAGGCAGATACAAAAGATGGAACTGGGAGCTTATCAGACAGAACTGGGAGCTTATCAGACAGGACTACCTCGAGATGAATTGACCTGATTAAGATAAGAAAGTTCTAGTCTGTTTTCATACTGCTAAACTACCAGTCCATCCAGAAACATGAATTACATGTAACAAGGAAGGATAATTTAAGGTAGGATCTTTCAAAAAAAAGGCTGGCTAGCCCAGTATCCAGTCTCTAGTAGAGGTTGACAGTAGATAGTCAAGGATAAGTAAATAAGAACGAGGCAATCATATCTTCTTACTTTCCCAGAATACTCCCTTGACCCCATAAAAAGCTATTATCCCATCCTAGGAAATCCCTTAATTACGAAGTACATAAAGGACACATTGAACCAGAAGTGACTGCCTTAACAGTCCTCAGTGAATTACTGGAATCCTGAATTTGCCCAAATATTTTTTGAATAGCAGTATTTTTTTTAGCAAATGCACTAGGGAGCATCTGATTCATCACTCTTTTCATTGCATGCTCTGTTGTTCTGACAGAAAAGGGAGTGCAAAATCACCTCCTCAGCCCATCAAAATGCTCCACATCTCTTCTCACATCTTTCCACAGGTAAAGTGACCGACATCTATTCAGTCATTTCACACGTGGAAACTACTTCAAAACTTCAATCAACCCTTTTGCCCTACTTAACACTTATCTGCACTTATCTATCAATCTTTCTACAAACTGGCTGCTACTGACCTGGACAAGTTC